TAACGAGTACGAACAAGAAGTGACATACAAAATGAAAAATCTTTAATAAAAACACCCATAATATGAAGAACAGGTAGTGTACAATGTACTGGTTACCAGACAAAGTACTCAGTCGGACTGGAGAACAGAAGGTTTTGCATTGCTCTCTTTCTATGTGTTGGAAGAAAACCACTAGATATTAAACTTAATAACCTCTGAAGGACATTACTAACTTAATCCTTGTACTTATTTGAGTAAGGAAGCATATTATGCTAATATAATGATAGGTGGTTTAAAAGCTGTGTCACTTTTATTGATTAAATTTCACAAGATATATGAGTCAACTAGTTATCTGTATATATTATTATCTATCCAGTTTCAATTGTTTCTAGTGTGTCAGAAATATTGTTTTTGACATAGAGGGAAATATACAGTAACTGAATTAATTTGGCTAATGTTTGAAATTAGGCCAAAGAAGTCAAGCCATTTTATATATATACAACAAATTTTAATTTCCAAAGATAAACTACATTAGGCTGAAGTATCTGTGTTAGTCTCAATTTTTGTTTTATTTGTAAAGGAAACCAATACCTTCCATATGAAAAGGTTAACTTGATCATCAGAAACCATGCTACAGTAGTTGATGAAGGAACTGATGACCAAAAAGTAAGTGGCCAATGTTTTAGTCAATATATTAATGTTGGTCAGTAGATGTTATTAAGTTACATCAGTTGATGAAGTAACTGATGACCAAAAAGTAAGTGGCCATTGTTTTAACAAATATATTAATGTTGGTCAGTAGATGTTATTATATTACATCAATCAATGAAAGAACTGATGACCAAAAAGTAAGATGCCATTGTTTTAGTCAATATATTAATGTTGGTCAGTAGATGTTATTACATTACATCAATCAATGAAAGAACTGATGAGCAAAAAGTAAGTGGTCATTGTTTTAGTCAATATATTAATGTTGGTCAGTAGATATTATTACATTACATCAATCAATGAAGTAACTGATGACCAAAAAGTAAGTGGCCATTGTTTTAGTCAATATATTAATGTTGGTCAGTAGATGTTATTACATTACATCAATTGATGAAGGAACTGATGACCAAAAAGTAAGTGGCCAATGTTTTAGTCAATATATTAATCTTGGTCAGTAGATGGTATCACATTACATCAGTCTATGAACAAAGAAAGTAAGTTACCATTAATAATTTGTTTACTAAATATTTTTAACTTCATCAATTAATGTTACCATGTTGCAACAATCAATGAACATGCTGTTGAACAAAATGTGAGTAGTCACTGTTTATGTTTAAGAGATGACATGTGAACATTACTTTCTACTACACTGCACCAACCTACTACAAAATACATTTGTACTGTTGTTGTTTTCCTTGTTCACATCTACACAATGGGTTATGTGTCCACTGTCGGTAATCAACCCCGATCTCCAAAATATTCATTTAATCTCCTCTCAGACATCTTCAATATTATAGCTTCTACCAAACCTGAAGGCAAGCTATTCCATATAATCAAAAGGATATTAAAAAAAGCAACACTGCTTTAACTGGAGACATATTTGAGTTTTCCATATCTTAAACGTGTGCCCTGTAGTCTTATTGCTTGCAGAGTTTTTTGAAAACATTATATGAACTTAAGGATTCCAAATCTCTAAAAACCTGAAAAATCTCAATCATGTCCACAAAATACCTTTATCTTTCCATAAATTTTATCTTTATACCCATCAGATAACTTCTGAAAACTCTTGGTATTTCTTCTCTGAACCCTTTCCAAAAACTCAATATCATTTCTTAAAATGGTGGCCAAAACAGGAAACAATATTCTAAATAAGATTTAGCCAGCAACTTATAGAGTAAACACATGACCTTCTTTGACTTGTACTTGACACTTCTAATATTTTAGTTGGTGAAAATTTTTAAAGAAGTCTGTTGTAAGATAATTTTTCAGATTGCTGCAAAGAAAATGTTAACTTTTTAAATCAGTCTTTTTTTTGTTTATTTAATTAATTCATTTATCACCTCATTGTTTGTTCCAATTGGAGTTTGTTTACCATGTTTACAAATCCATTAAAAGAAATGAAACCTGGGATGATGAGTTATAAGTGTAACAATTATGCAGTGAAAAATGGTTTTGCTATTTTGAACCACGATATTTTTTGAAGATTTATTTTATATGAATTACTAGAACAAGAACCTTGTTTACAAGTTCAAGGTATTTTACATGTTTAAAGCCAAAGTTTAGAATACAGTTCAGAGATCAGTAACACATTTGTTGCCTTGCATGTCCACCTTTACTGATGAGAAGCTGGCCTTGTTAAGAGGTGGATGTAGTACATAAGAATGATTGTTTTGCATTTACTTAAAAACTTCATGTAAACTGCATGTAGTGAAACTTGTTTCTCGAGTTAGGTAAAAAAGACTTATCCAAAGTAGTTTTCTTATAGTTGTACTGATGATTTCTGTTTTTAAACACAGTATTATACAAGGGTTATACTGAAGTATGTGAAAATATAGTCCAATCTTATATGCTATAGTATTGCATTTCTGTATTTAAAATGTCAGATGTTTCGGAGTGTTAAGAAAAAGGGCTATATAATTATGTCTGTATCAATCAGTTTTAACTTGTACTTACGTAACATACATATATATAAATGGAGGACAACCTGTTGGTCCATCTAGGCCTTCCCATCCACTAAACTAAACTATAAAAAACAATAACAAAAAACACTTAAATCCAGCCCTTATCATTCAAATATTTAGTAAGCCTTCCTTGAATTATTTTAAGTTTATTGTATCCATCACATTTGAAGGCAACTTATTTCAAAGGCTAACTATGCCCTGTTATAAAAATAAAACTGTCTTAGCTGAAGATAATCCCACAATCCCAACATTCATAGTGTTCCCTAAACCTACCATTCTCGTCATTAAGTACGAAAAGGATGATAAATTGACACCTCAATCGGATCCTCTCTGACTCTTTTTCTTCTTCTTCTGTAAATACTTGTAAAATACCATGCCGTAAAATATTCTATGTAGTGTTGAATCTTGTGTAAATACTTGTAAAATACCATGCCGTAAAATATTCTATGTAGTGTTGAATCTTGTGTAAATACTTGTAAAATACATGCCGTAAAATATTCTATGTAGTGTTGAATCTTGTGTAAATACTTGTAAAATACTTAATTTCTGGTATAAATTCTTTCTGAGAAGATTCAGCGATACAAATCCTTTCTTAATTAAAACTAATTTATTCTTTTTCGATACAACTTTGTAATACACAGAATT